TTCACAGGTATACTTTGAGGTACATTAAATTATGTGCAATGTATTATCGATAGTGCAGGAGATAATTTGATGTGGTACTAGAAATGATTCAAGGTGTTATGTGTTCTGGGGCCCAGTGTGGTGGCTCACACCTTTAATCCCAGAACTTTGGGAGTCCGAGGCGGGTGAAATAGCTTGCACTCAGGAGTTTGAGGCCAGCCTGGGCAACATGGCAAGACCCGGTCTCTACTAAAAATACACACAAAAAAATCGCTGGGTGTGATGGTGCGTGCCTATAGTCCCAGTTATTTGGGAGGCTGAGGTGAGAGGCTTGCTTGAGTGTGGGAGGCAGATACTGCAGTGAGGCAAGATCACCCCACTGCACCCCAGTTTGAGTGACAGAGCCAGACTCCATATAAAAAAAATTGGCTGGGCACGGTGGCTTACACTTGTAATCCCAGAACTTTGGGAGGCTGAGGCAGGCAGATCATCTGAGGTTGAGAGTTTGAGACCAGCCTGACCAACAAGGAGAAACCCAGTCTCTACTAAAAATATGAAAAATCAGCTGGGCATGGTGGCACATGCCTGTAATTCCAGCTACTTGGGAGGCTGAGGCAGCAGAATCACTTGAAACCAGGAAGCAGATGTTGTGGAGAGCCGAGATCGCACCATTGCACTCTGGCTGAGGCAACAAGAGCAAAACTAAGTCTAAAAAAAAGACAAAAACGGGGGCTGGTAGCGGTGGCTCACGCCTGTAATCCCAGCAATTTGGGAGGCCAAGGTGGGTGGATTACCTGAGGTCAGGAGTTTGAGACCAGCCTGGCAACATGGTGAGAGCCCGTCTCTACTAAAAATACAAAAAAATAGCTGGGCGTGGTGGTGGGTGCTTGTAATCCCGGCTATTTGGGAGACTGAGGCAGGAAAAGTGTGTGAACCTGGGAGGCAGAGGTTGCGATAGCACCACTGCACTCCAGCCTGGGCAACAAGAATGAAACTTTGTCTCAAAAAAACAATGTTAATTTGAATATTAAGAAAATATTCTCTGTCTTATTTGGAGCCATATGATTTCAGTTAAGTAGAGAGTCTCATTTAGTTGCTGCATGTCTTTTTTTTTTTTTTTTTTAATGTCTGTGTGTGTGTGTGTGTGTGTGTGTGTGAGAGAAAGAGAGATGAGTCTCGTTTGGTCACCCAGACTGGAATGCAGTGGTGCCATCTCGGCTCACTCCAACCTCCCGGGTTCAAGCAATTCTCCTGCCTCAGCCTCCTGAGTAGCTGAGATAACAGGCATGTGCCACCATGCCAGCTACTTTTTGTACTTTTAGTAGAGATGGGATTTCACCATGTTGATCAGGCTGGTCTATGAACTCCTGACATCTCATGTCTCAATGCTCTGTTCACCATGGCAGCGGTTTCCAAGGTGTGGTCTCCAGATCAACAACCTTAGCATCACCTGGGACCCTGCCAGAAATACCCACCTTCGATCCACTGAATCAAATTCTGTGCTAATGGAGCTCAACAACACGTTTCAACCTGCCTTCCAGGTGATTCTGATGCATGCTCACTTCTGAGAGCCACGCCAAAGAAGTATCTGCTACATATGCCCCTGCCCCCACACCCTCAAGCTTTTCTCCCTTTTTGTTCTCAGGCGAAGGATTGAAGGGGTTCAGTAACAGGTCTACAGCATACTGAGATTTATGTATCATTTATTTGAGACACAGTCTTGCTTTGTTGCGCAGGCTGGAGTGCAGTGGCCAATCTCAGCTCATTGCAATCTCCGCCTCCCATGTTCAAGCAAGCTCCTGCCTCAGCCTCCCGAGTAGCTGGGATTACAGGCATGCACCACCACAGTTGGCTAATCATTGTATTTTTAGTAGAGACAGGGTTTCACCATGTTAGACAGGCTAGTCCCAAACTCCTGGCTTCAAGTGATCCGCCCACCTTGGCCTCCCAAAGTGTTGGGATTACAGGCGTGAGCCACTGTGCCTGGCCACACTGAGACTTTTTTTTTTTTACTATGTTGCCCAGGCTGGAGTGCAATGGTGTGACCTCAACTTACCGCAGCCTTTCTCTTCCAGGTTCAAGCGATTCTCCTGCCTCAGCCCCCTGAGTAGCTGGGATTACAGGCATGCACCCACCACGCCCAGCTAATTTTGTATTTTTAGTAGATATGGGGTTTCTCCATGTTGGTCAGGCTGGTCCCCAACTCCTGACCTCAGGTGATCCACCCCCCTCGACCTCCCAAAGTCACACTGAAACATTTTAGAGGGAGATCAGTCTACGGAACAAACGCTGGCGTGGGGTTGGTGGCCTGGGTGTGCTGTCTGGCCAATTTTGTGCGTGGAATAAGCAGTGGGTAGAGGCTCTGGGTAACAGGAAACTCTGTCAGGCTCTGCCCTCCATGTCCCACCCTCTCCCTCAACAAAAAACAGCCAGGAATTGAGAGGAGGCTCTTCTCCACACCATCCCACTACTTCCGTCCCTCACCTTCTCTGAGCCCTGGGTGTTGGCACTGGGAACTCTGCAATGGATATCCTAAAAGGCAGGCAGCCTGTGGAAAGAAGGCAGAGGAGAGGGCCCACAAAATGCAAAGGTGTCTCTGCAACCCTGCTAAAGATCTTTCTCTCTCTCTCTCTTTCTTTTCTCCTTCTTTCCTCTCTCTCTCCTTCCTTCTTCCCTTCTTTCTTTCTGACAGAGTTTCGCTCTTGTTGCCCGGGCTGTATGTAGCGCAACGGCCAATCTCGGCTCACCGCAACTTCCGCCACCAGGGTTCAAATGATTCTCCTGTCTCAGCCTCCCGAGTAGCTGGGATTCCAGGCATGCACCACTAAGCCCGACTATTTTTGTTTTTTAGTAGAGACGGGGTTTCTTCATGTTGGGTCAGGCTGGTTTTGAACTCCCAACCTCAGGTGATGTGCCCACCTCAGCCTCCCAAAGTGCTAGGATTGCAGGCATGAGCCACCGCACCCGGCAGAAGATTTTTCACTTTATCCTGAATGGAAGACAGTATCTGAGGCCGAGAAATAACAGAAATTGATGTTCACTTTAGCAGTACTCCTGGCAACTGCACGGAAAATGGAATGGCACAGAAACTGTAGTCTTACGAGCAGCTATCTCATTAGTTTGGGTGGGAAATTAAAGGCTGTGAGCACAGATCTAACAGAATGTGGATTGGGATATGCAGGGGACGGTGGCGGGGGGAGGCTGACAGATTGCATTTGAACTTAGTGAGTTATACGTCCAGCACAAAAATAACAGGCATGGAAGTCCTGGAATTATTTATCAACAAGGTCGCACAGGTGAGTGACATCCCCTTCTTCCCTGTTCCCCAAGGCACCTGGACTTTGGAGTCAGTCAGTCTTGGGTTCCAACCTCCCGCTAGGACGCAATTTCTTGAGAGCAGGATTCAATCTCTTGTTCTCCGCTAGATCCCAAGTGCCTAGAATATTTTCTGGCATATAGTAGGCACTCAATAAAAATTTGCCGAATGAATCGTTGAATGCATGGTCACACTCCTCGGCTGTAAACACAATGAAATCACCTAGTCGTGAACTTGGCGCACAGTAGGCGCTCAACAAGTTGTATTTTTCCCTCCCCTTGCAGTAGACCGCGGTCCCTAGGCGATCGGGGGGAAAAAAAGGGGGTTTCTTTATCTTGTGCAGTCTGCACCTCACTTCACCCCGGCAGCCCTAGCTGGGTCGCGGGGAGCACGTGGGCCGGACAGGCTGGGTGGGAGGGGAGGAGAAAGAGGGGGCGGCGGCCGGCGGCTCGCGCGGAGACGGTCTCCCAGGCTTACGTAAGGCGCGAGTCCCGCGCTGCCGGCCCGGGCTCGAGACTCGGCGGACGGAGGCGGCGCCGCCCTGCGGAAAGCGGGCAGGAAGCTTCTCAGAGCGCTGCCTCCAGCCAAGGTGTGTGTTTTATTTGATTGCTTTTGGAGGCGAGGCGCGGGGCTCTGGCTCGTCGCGAGCCCCACGGCCCGGGAGCGCATCCGCTAACCCCGGGCGGAGGTGGGCCCCTCCGAGCGCGCGCAGGCGGCGGGCAGCGGCGGCCGCTGAGACTCCGGGGGATGTGACAGCCGCGGGGAGGGGCCGAGACGCCGACCACACGTTGCACACGTGCGAATACAGGGCAGGGGCTCAGCCCCTTGGCCGCTTGGTGCGTGGGGCGGCGGGGGCAGGCTTTGAATGACCCCCTTTTGCCAGCTTCCCCGGCTCGACGGAGACTGGCTGGGGGATGCCCGGCCGCCCGACTCCCTTCTCGGACGCGGCATGGGGCGCGAGTTGGAGGAAAGGATGGACGTGGGACTGGCCAGGCCGACCTCTGACCCCTGGAGGCCGAGCCGGCAGGGCGGGGCACCTGCGCGCTCCAGCAGCTCTGCGTGGGGGCGAGGAGGTGGAGGAGGGCCAGTAGGTGGAGGAGGGCGGGGAGGTGTAGCGTGGCGCTCACTCCGCCTGCGAGTCGGTCCCGGCGCAGGGCTGAGGGGAGGGGTTGTCTTAAAAGTCTCTCCTTCCCCCTGTAGGGGCGGCCGGCGAGTCCCAGTGCGAGCGGAGGGTGCCAGAGGTAGGGGGCCGAGAAACAAAGTTCCCGGGGCTCCCTCCGGGGCTGCGGTCTGGGCTGCGCGTTTAGCCGCCCCCCCCTCCTCGCGAAGGCAATGGCTTCCAAACTCCTGCGCGCGGTCATCCTCGGGCCGCCCGGCTCGGGCAAGGGCACCGTGTGCCAGAGGATCGCCCAGAACTTTGGTCTCCAGCATCTCTCCAGCGGCCACTTCTTGCGGGAGAACATCAAGGCCAACACCGGTGAGGGGCTGCGGGGACGAGGGCCGGGGGCGAGCCGCGTTGGGCTGGGGTGAGGCCCTGGAGGGGCCGGGTCTCCCGGATCGCGGTGCCCTTCCCCCGCCCGCGTGTGGTCGTACAGGCTCGTACGTGCCAGGGCGCATGCAGCTGGCGGCCAGCGGCCGCGCGGCTTAACCGCGCCCGAGGAGGAGGCCAAGGCTCGCGGGGCGGCCGGTGGGAGGTGCTCGCGGCTCCTCTCTCCACCGCTCCTCCTACCGCGAGGAAAAGCCCAGGCCACCGGGCCGAGGGAGGGTCGAGAACCACTCAGCGAAAAACCCCGAGCTTCCCTCTCACGCTGCCTCCTCAAGGCAGAGCCGGCCCCGTACCCCTTAATCCCGGCCTCCCTGGCCCCCTTCCCCGAGTCCTTAGAGAGCCATGCGCCCCCTCCCGCGGGAACCCGGAGGCGGAGCGCCGCCCACCTGTGGCAGTCGGGCGGGGCTGCGCGCCGGGAACCTGTGGCGCCGTGGGGCTCGCAGCCACGCGCTTCTCCAGCCCCTTCACGCAGCCTCGGGCCTCGTGGCAGAGCCCTGGGTGGCTTTGAAAGGCTTGTTTGTTCGCTGTCGCCTTCTAAGGTAAACTCTCCCCAGCAACTCCCCCTCCTCTCCGAACTGCCTGGCCTGGAGATGTAGAGACTCGTCGGAGACTCGTTCTGATAAATTACATTTTGAATGCAGCTTTCCTGGAAATGGCTTCTTGAGCTGCCTCCCTTGGCTGGAGGTGCCTCCTTTGGCTGACGTGGTGAACTTGGAGATATAGATCGCCTGATTTTTTAGTCTGACAGTATTGAATGCCTCCCTTTCCCCATCTCCTCCCACTCCAGGTTCACACCAGTTCCTAATGAATTGGCGTTCAAAGGTGAGAGGTAGCGGCTCTGCTGCTGCGAGGCTCTTAACCATTCTGGGATGGAGAAGCTGGTAATTAGCAACTCCTTTGTGAAAAGTTGTTCTTGCCAGCGGGGGTTCTTTACTGTAGCTGCAGTTCTCAAGGGTGTCCGGGGTGGTTATTGCCCATCATGGACTAATTATCCGAGGATCTGCATTTCAGAAGCACAGATTGGTTTGAAAAGGAAGGTGGAGGGCGGCGTCGGAAAACAAAAGGAAAGCTTAAAAGCAAGGAATTAAGAAGTATCTCCAGAGTGTTATTTCTTACTTCTTAAGCAGGTTGAAAAAGCTGGCTTTTACCGGAAACTCTTCCCCCACCCCCACGTCTCAGAAAGAATAATTATGTGTACCAAATTGCACTTGAGTTTTCTTTTGTGGGTATTGTTACCTCAAGTGCGCCTATTTTGATTTTAATACATTCAGCTGCATTTTATTCTTGGAATGCTGCCTTTGGAATGCGGTTTGAGGGGAGAGCAGCCTAGAGGGAAGGCTGGCTCTCATCCTGAAGGTTTTGTGTTTAGGTTGGGCTTCTTGGTAGGAGCATCGAGTCAGTGAAGGAAGACAGCAAGAAGAGATGAGCCTATTTCATAATTCTCTGTACCTGACTTGGCGACTTGTTTCCTTCTGGCATGAAGGGCTTCACACTGTCCATCTTGGGACTGGACTGTAGCCCTTTCCATTTTTAAAGACAGTGTGTTGGGAAGTGGCTTATTTCTGCACTTTCTTAGGGGCTTTGAAAATTTTCCACTTGCTCTTTTCCCTTGTTCTCTCTCTCTTTTTTTTTAATTTCAACTTCCCTCTGTTCTGAATTTTAGTTTCCATTCTCTTTCAACCTTCATTTCCTCCCCAGTGTTCCCTCCTGTAGTCAGAAGTGACCATGCAATGTTTAGATTTCCTTTTTTCTGTTGGGAATCAGGCAGTTTTTGCATGAGCCAATGTAAAAAAACAAAAACTTTATCAAAGAAAGAAGAAAAATAAAGGACAGCAATTTGTTTTGAAAGTGGCTTTTTCTAGTGAACTTTCGGGTTATCGGATTATTTTTCACTCAGAAGGTCTGAGAATCTTATAGGCCCATTGCCTGGTAAATAAAACATTCCACAGTATTTATTTTTCTGTTACCTGCTGTTTACTTTTAGCGAATTTCCTAGTGGGAAGCACAGCCACCCTTCTGTATTTACCCTTTGTAATGGACGGGTTGAAGGAGATGATGAAGCACAACAAAAACCCAGGAAATAGAATCGTGTAGGAATTTGAATTGGAAAGTAGCTCCGGCCATCTGCTCCAGCCTGGATTTGGGCACACTTGTCTACATGGCTTTCTTCCTCCTGCAGTCTGGCGAAAAGCTGCTTTCAGGAAAGGGCCACTCTGATGTCATTGCTTCTTGGAAGTCTTCCTTCACCTGCTCTGGCAGAATTCTTTTTTCTCTGTGTATGTCTTTTTTTTTTGAAATGGAGTCTTGTTCTCTGGCACTGTTTTGCCTTGCTGCAACCTTTGCCTCACCGGTTCAAGTGATTCTCTTGCTTCAGCCTACCACGTAGCTGGGATTACAGGCATCTGCCACCACACCTGGCTAATTTTTGTATTTTTCATAGAGATGGGGGTTTCACCATCTCTGTGAAGTTTCAAGCCCAGGTTGGTCTCCAGCTTGGGATCTCAGGTAATCCACTTTCCTTGGCCTCCCAAAGTGCTGGGATTGCAGACATGAGCCACCATGCCAAGCCTCCTCTGCACATATCCTTGTTCATTCTAATGTTGCAGTTACATATCATGCAGTGTAAAAATGCCTGTCTCTCACCCAGTAAGATACCTGCTGAGTGGCTGCTGTGCATTAGTGTTCTAGGTACTGGGGCAATAGCATTAAGATAATCTTGTACCTCTTTTATTTTATTATTATTTATAGAGATGGGGTTTTGCTTTGGTGCCCAGGCTAGTCTCAAACTCCTGGCTCAGTCTCCCAAAATGTTGGGATTACAGGTGTGAGCCACTGTACCTGGCCCATTCTTGGGCCTTTTGTTGTTCTTCCTACGTACACCATGGTCCAGTTTCCACTCGGAAAGTTGGAGGACAGGGATCAGGCAAAGTACCTAATGCATAAAAGGAGTTTACCAAGTCTGTGTTAAAGGTCTGGGTCACAAATTCTGGACAGTACATCTTACTCCAGAAGTCAACCTATAGCATAGAGTCCATTTTATTTAATTAGCTCTGATTTATGGTAAAAGTTTGTACTTAATATGGATCTGAGATTAGCTTCCTGATAGCTGTTATCCATTGGCCCTTCCTATACTGCCTACAGTGGTGCAGGGGGAGGCTTATCAGATACCTCATTTGAAGACTCACCCCATATTCTTTGGCTCAGATTTTCTTTTCTTTTCTTTTTTTTTGAGATGGAGTTTCGCTGTTGTTACCCAGACTGGAGTGCAATGGCGAGATCTTGGCTCACTGCAACCTCCGCCTTCTGGGTTCAAGCAATTCTCCTGCCTCAGCCTCCCGAGTAGCTGGGACTAACAGGTGTGCACCACCATGCCCAGCTAATTTTTGTATTTTTAGTAGAGACGGGGTTTCACCTTGTTGACCAGGATGGTCTTGATCTCTTGACCTTGTGATCCACCCACCTCGGCCTCCCAAAGTGCTGGGATTATAGACGTGAGCCACCGCACCCGGCCCTGGCTCAGATTTTCTTTAGCACACTGCAAGGGTAAATAGAAGGGAGAGTTCTCTTAGATTGGGTGTCTCTTAGATTGACCCAACTAAGAGAACTCTCTTAGTTGGGTCTTACACTCTGTCGTAAGGAATATTAGCTTTTCTCTGTGTGTGTATGAGCATGCACATGTATGTACGAGTACACACACAGGACTGGCACTCTGGAGTGAGTCCCATTACAGATTCTGGTATTTAATTATAAATTGTTTTATTGGATCATATCTAAAGGATATGCAAGTCCTGTTTTAAAGGTTGGACAAATAGTGATATTTTAAAAAATCACAGTCCCCTGGATCTATTGTCTCAAGTGCAGAAAAACTGGCAAATCTCCATTTGGAAGCATCTTGGACTTGAGTGAGATAAAAGGTGTTCAGGACAAACCTGTTTCTGCTCTCTCTCTCTCTATATATATTTTTGAGACAGAGTCTTCCTTTGTCGCCCCAGGCTGGAGTGCAGTGGTGCGATCTTGGCTCACCGCGACCTCTGCCTCCCAGATTCAAGTGATTTTGTCTCAGCCTCTGGAGTAGCTGGGACTACAGGTGCTCACCACCATGTCTGGCTAATTTTTGTATTTTTAGTAGAGACAGAATTTCACCATGTCAGCCAGGCTGGTCTCGAACTCCTGACCTCATGATACGCCCGCTTCGGCCTCCCAATGTGCTGGGATTACAGGGGTGAGCCACCAAGCCTGGCCTCTGCTCTCAATATTAACTGCAGCTCTTGCTGGGATTTTGCAGCTGGGAATAGCATTTCAAGTTAGTGTATGGGCTGAGCCTGTTTTTGAAAAGATGGCCTAGTTCAGAGGGCTCAGGGTTTTGGTGCTTATTAAGTATAAATGTGTGTCTTATGTAAGAGGGAAAACTTCTGAGAACTGGAAGATAGAGACATTGTATTAGAGAGACTTGAGAGCCAGAGTTCAACGTATCTAAAACAGGTTTCAATAGTTATCCCTTTTTATAGATCATACAGAGTCTTGGCTTATTACTGGCTTTCTAGAGTATGTTCTATTCCATTTCCCCCCCCAGGCTTGGTGAGATTCAGGATATAGCACAGGTCAAGCAAGGGTCTGACTGGTTTTGAGACCTCTCCAGTCCAAAGGTCCACTCCACATCCACTTGTTACTGTTGCTTTTATGGTTTCTTTGAGGATTTTCACACATATTTGAAGAACACTATTTGTGACTTGAATAAGGTATTCCATGACAGTAAGTCTGCCTTAGCCACATGCACATCTGAATCTGCACATTCTTCCAGTGGGGTGTATTTTTTTTTTTTTTTTTTTTTTTTTTTGAGGCATAGTTTGACTCTGTGACCCAGGCTGGAGTGCAGTGGTATGAACATGGCTCACTGTGGCCTCAACTTCCCAGACGCAAGCGATCTTCTTACCTCGGCCTCTTAAGTAGCTGGGACTACAGGCATGTGTAGTCTCAGCAGGGATACTTTTGTATTTTTTATAGAGATAGATAGGGTTTCTACTTATTGCCCAGGATGGTCTTGAACCCCTTAGCTCAGGTGGTCTGCCCGCCTCAGCCTCCCAAAGTGCTGGGATTACAAGTGTGAGCCACCATGCCTGATCAGGATCTTTTTTTAAAAAAAAAAATGAACTCTCACTGTGTTTCCCAGGCTGGAGTGCAGTGGCATTATCTTGGCTCACTGCAACCACCACCTCCTGGGTTCAAGCAATTCTCTGCCTCAGCCTCCCGAGTAGCTGGGATTACAGGCACCTGCCACCATACCTGGCTCATTTTTGTATTTTTAGTAGAGATGGGTTTCACCATCTTGGCTAGGCTGGTCTTGAATGCCTGACCTCGTTATCCTCTGGCCTTGGCCTTGCAAAGTGCTGGGATTATAGGCATGAGCCACTGCACCCCACCATGATCATTTTTTTATAAGTAGCCTTTTCTGACCGAAGTTATGCCTTCTAGAAAATTTAGAAAATGTAAAATGGTAGAAGAAATGAAAGCAGCAAGTAAAAATTACCCTTAATTTTTA